GACTGTTGGGATGGTGTTCTTGGGGTCTTAGTCAGCATTTCTCTCCCTCCAAACACGGTGAGTCAAGTTAATGCCAGAGAGCTCAATTTTGGTCTCATCTAACCACAGCACTTTCTCCCAAGCCTTCTCTGAATCATTTAGATGTTCTTTGGAAAACTTTAAACGGGCCTGTACATGTGCCTTCTTGAGCAGGGGGACCTTGCGGGCGCTGCAGGATTTCAGTCCATTGTGGCATAGTGTGTTACCAATGTTTTGCTTAGTGACTGTTGTCCAAATGCCTTAAGATCATTAACAAGCTCCTCCCGTGTAGTTCTGGGCTGATCCCTCACCTTTCTCATGATCATCCTTACCCCATGAGGCAAGATCTTGCACGGAGCTCCAGACCGATGCCAATTGATGGTTATTTTGCATATCTTCCATTTCCGAATAATAGCACCAACGGTTCTCCTTCTCACCAAGCTTCTTGAGAGCTTGTGTGGACAGATTGTGTGGACAGGTGTCTGGTACACCTAACGAGCTGACATTAGGAGTAACTTCTTAAAGTGACAGGATTAATCTGTGTTCCAAATGGGCACATAACCAGTCTGTGGGAGCCAGAATTCTTGCTGATGGTTGGTAGGGGATCAAATACTTATTTCACTCACTGAAATGCAAATCAATCTCTAACCTTTATATAATGCGTTTTTTCTGGATTTTTGGGTTGGTATTCTGTCTCTATCCGTTAAAATAAATCTACCTTAAAAATTACAGACCCTTCATTTCTTTGCAAGTGGGCAAACTTACAAAATCAGCAGGGGGTCAAGTAAATATTAATATTAAATTATATAAATATAAAATATTAGTAGCTATGCCCTAATGCATTGTGATGTTCTTTGTAGCTAAATTGGAATGTGGATTTACATGGTGATAATCATTGAAATTACTTCTTAAATGTTAGGTAGATTAAACCAGCACAGTTTTATTCCTATCTTGTCAATGGCAGATTGATACAGATCAAACTCCCTAGGCTAGTGGTCCAGTTTAAGGCATGATCTACACTCTAAAAAAAATGATGGGTTGTTTCAACCTAACTTTGGGTAAAATATGGACTAACCCAACTTTTGGGTTAAAAATGTAATGTAAAAATGTAACCCAACGGTTGGGTTAGTCCATATTTGACCCAAAGTTGGGTTGAAATAACCCAGCATTTTTAGAGTGTAGGATGTGAAAGTAGACTTCAGACTTGTCTTTTCCATTTTCATTTCAGAAGAACCAGTACAACATATTCAAAACAGTACAAATGAGGCCGTCATGCGTATATAGGAGAAACATGATTGGGGTTGGGTCTGCCCCCTAACTCATGTCTACAGCATGTTTCATTCTGACTGGATGTGGAACTGCTGTTATTCCCCTTTAATTGCACCAGTTTTCTGATATTAGCTGCAGTTGTGTGTCATGAGTATTCCCCTGCCTCATGTCTAGACGAGCATCTCTCCAAGATGAGGTGCAGTGAGCTGATAACGTCACCCACAGAGATCACGGCTTTAATGTCAAGTGCTTCTGCATGCATGGTCATGCTGATTGATATATGTTCGCTCCAGCATCTCTTTGATGATGTAGGCCTCAATAAACATGAGATGAGCAAAGATGACATAGCCCTCAAACTCTGGTGGGGGATCTGAAATGTGCCTTGTGCTCAGGTTAGCTTGGGTTTGGATTTTGTGTGTTTTTGACCATCTGATGGTAGTTTCTTGAGTTTGTCCTGAAAGTGAGAGCTGTATCAACACTACACATGTGCTGCCACCTAGTGCTGATCTGAAGTAATTCTGATAGGTCATGTACATTTGATGTGTAATGTACAGTTGTTGTAGGTTCATTAAATTAACAGTTGTGCTCATAATTGTATATTTTCTCATTAATGCACATCTTGTAGAATCTGTTGAAGTTGAATATTTAATAGAATTAATATTTAATGTTTTTTATTTGTTATTTTTTATACATTCGTTCATTAGTCCTGCCTAGATGCTTTTTTTAAACATTCATTCATTCATTTCTTTCATTCATTCCTTCATTCTAGTAATTTTAGTTAGTAATTTTACTCATTAATTTTATTTATTTTAAATATTCATTCATTCATTCCTGCCCAAAATCAGCATTTTATTTGTTTGTTTGCTTGTTTATTTGTTTTAAACGTTCATTCACTCATTTGTTCTTTCATTTGTTCATTCATCCATTCATTCATTCATTCAGTCCTGACTAAAAGCAGCATTTTATTGTTTGTTTGCTTATTTCATTCATTCACGCATTCACTAAAGCAGCATTTTATTTGTTTGTTTGTTTGTTCACTTATGTTTTAAATATTCATTCATTCATTCATTCATTCCTGCCCAAAAGCAGCATTTTATTTGTTTGTTTTAAACATTCATTCATTCATTTCCAAAACAATATTTTATTTGTTTGCTTGTTCGTTCATTCATTCATTCACAAAAGCAGCATTTTGTTTGTTTGATTGTTAGATTCATTCATTTGTTCATTTTCATTCATTCATTAATTTCTGCCCAAAACAGCATTTTATTTGTTTGCTTGTTCATTCATTCATTCATTCATTCCTGCCCCAAAACAGCATTTTATTTGTTTGCTTGTTCGTTCGTTCGTTCGTTCATTCATTCATTCAAATTATGTTCTGATAATGTGTTTTGTGTTTGTCTAGGTTTTTCTGTCCTCCCCCTTGTGTGTATCTGATGGGCTGTGGATGGAAGAAGAAGAGGGAGCAGATGGAGCGAGACGGCTGTTCCGAGCAGGAGTCTCAGCCCTGCGCCTTCATCGGCATCGGCAACAGTGACCAGGAGATGCAGCAGCTAAACTTAGAGGGGAAGGTAATGCACACACACACACACACACACACAGATGTGCTGCCAGAATAAACTGACAAGAGCTACTCAGCCAAGCACACAGAGCCAAAACGATACCATTAGCATCCCATTATTTTTCTCATGAATACACAAATCTTGCCTCCTCCCTGCAGAACTATTGCACAGCCAAAACATTGTACATCTCAGACTCAGACAAACGCAAGCACTTCATGCTGTCGGTGAAGATGTTCTACGGGAACAGCGCAGACATCGGCGTCTTCCTCAGCAAGAGGATCAAGGTCATCTCCAAACCTTCCAAAAAAAAACAGTCCCTCAAAAACGCAGACCGTGAGTATTCACTACCCACATTATACTCAAAGGAAACACTTGCAGTACAATGCTTTTAAGACTGTTTGACAGTTTTAGAATGAATGATGACAGTTATATTAAAGATAAATAAGAAATAATAGAAGACATATTATAGGGAAATAGGATGTTAGACAGGGCTTTCGATTCAGATAACGTAGTTTGAAGTCTCCGTGGTTTTGCTCTAACAGAGTTATGTCTTTCTCCTGTGTGCAGTCTGCATAGCATCAGGAACGAAAGTGGCGTTATTTAACCGACTTCGCTCGCAGACGGTCAGTACACGTTACCTGCACGTAGAGGGAGGAAATTTTCATGCCAGCTCACTGCAGTGGGGAGCTTTCTACATCCACCTCTGTAAGTCTTTGTGCACATTTCTGTGGAGTAATTTTGATTGCCAGATTGTTAAAGAACTGTTCAAGGGACACAATCCCTGGCATAACTTGGATATACACTACTGTTCAAAAGTTTGGGGTTGATAAGATTTTTTTAAAGTTTTAAAAGCTCTCCGATGCTCACCAAGTCTGCATTTTTTTATTTTTTTTTATCTATCAAAAACAGTGAAGACAGAAATATAGTTAAATATAATTACAATAAAATAACAGTTTTCTCTTTTAATATATTTTAAAATGTAATTCATTACTGTGACGCCAATCTGAATTATCAGCAGTCCTTAGTCCAGCCTTCAGTGTCACGTGATCCTTCAGAAATAATTCTGATATGCTGATTTGTCGCTGAAGAAAATACTTATTGTTATCAATGTTCAAAACAGATTTGCTGCTTAATTTTCTGGATACATTTTTTTCAGGATTCTTTGTTGAATATAAAGTTCAGAAAACTATCTTTTATTTGAAATATAGCATTGTAAAAGTCTATCACGTTGATTGCCAGATTGTTAAAGAACTGTTCAAGGGACACAATCCCTGGCATAACTTGGATATACACTACTGTTCAAAAGTTTGGGGTTGATAAGATTTTTTAAAAGTTTTAAAAGCTCTCTGATGCTCACCAAGTCTGCATTTTTTTATTTTTTTTTATCTATCAAAAACAGTGAAGACAGAAATATAGTTAAATATTATTACAATAAAATAACAGTTTTCTCTTTTAATATATTTTAAAATGTAATTCATTACTGTGACGCCAATCTGAATTATCAGCAGTCCTTAGTCCTTCAGTGTCACGTGATCCTTCAGAAATAATTCTGATATGCTGAGTTGGTGTACAAGAAACGTTTGTTATCCTTATCAATGTTTTAATCCGTTGTGCTGCTTAATATTTTTGTGAAAACCATGGAGCATATTTTTCAGGATTCTTAGATGATTGGAAATAACATAATTTATTTGCTATATATATATATTTAGAGAGAGAGAGCGAGAGAGAGAGTAACATTATGTCTTTACTGTCACCTTTCATAAATTGAATGCATTTTTTCTGACTCCAGAGTTTTCAGTGGTGTAGTTTTAAGGACAAAGTGGCCCAAAGTTCACTTAGTTTATGTAATGTTTATAAGGAAGTTTATCTGAAATCTTATATAAACCTGAGAGCAAAACTGACTATACAGGTGTGCTCAAGGAAATCTTGTTTAGCTTTACTATGTCTCATAAACAGAACTTGCAGTTTATTTCAAAGTGTCAATACAGTGAATTACAAATATTTGCTTTTAAGGAAGACTTGTTCTTCCTTAGAAACAGCAGCCACGGCAGACTGATTAACTACTCGACTCCTATCTTTAAAAGCATAAAGCCAGCCAATCAGAGCAGAGCTTGTGATTAGGACAACATGATTGCCACTGTTGTGTTAATAATATGTGTTAATAAAATGCCATTGTTTTATTGACACTAAAATGTTGGTGTTTTGACAATCATGAAAGGTCTGGTCACACAGGATAAGCTTAGTCTTGTTTATTATATTTTAGTGGATGATGAAGAGTCGGAGGGAGAGGAGTTCACTGTGCGAGACGGCTACATTCACTATGGTCAAACTGTCAAACTCGTGTGCTCTGTGACAGGCATGGCTCTTCCGCGACTGGTAAGCCCATGTCAATGTGTCTCTGTTCTTCTGATGATTTTCTCCATGTTATCATTTCTCTCTATTATACTCCGTTTTTTTTCTATCAGATTACAGTATATATAATTAACAGACAGTTTATATAATTAAGTCTTTGGGGTCATGATCAGTCACTGCTGTGAAAAAAGCAGTTTGGGTACATGAAGACAGAACAATGTCGTCATCCTGATATTTATTATACTGATCTACTATCTACTGATACTCTTCCTTCCTTCCTTCTTCCCTGCCTGTCTTCATCCCGAACACACACACACACACACACACACAGATCATCCGTAAGGTGGATAAGCAGACCGCCTTGCTGGATGCAGATGACCCCGTCTCTCAGCTGCATAAGTGTGCCTTTTACCTGAAGGATACGGAGAGGATGTACCTGTGCCTTTCTCAAGAGAGGATCATTCAATTTCAAGTGAGTCGCTCACTGGAAACATGGAGTACATGCAGTTCACTGTGCTAATAATGGTGTCTTCAGTAATGTTCATAAAGAGAACGTTAGAAGCAGTTTGAGTTTAAATTTTTTTGCCAGTTTGAGTTATGCAGAGTGTTTAAAGTTGGAAATATGTATTCTTTTAACATTACTTGTGTACACTTTTCTCGAAGTGTATCGAAAGCATTTTGTAGCATTTTTTTAATGACCTCCAAACGAAATATTTGTCCATTGTCAAAGGCTCTATAGCGGATTCATTTAAGTTCATTCTTCATACCAATGCACATTTTTTAATGTGCACTAGTATTTAAACGTTTGGGACTTGGGAGGTTCAATAGATTTTTGAAAAAAGTCTCTTATGTTCATCAAGGCTGCATTTATTTGGTCATATCAATTCATTTTCAAATTAATGCAAAAACTGTTTTCTATTTTAATACATTTCAAAATGTAATTTATTCCTGTGATGGCAAAGCTGAATTTTCAGCAGCCTTTACTCGGTCTTTAGTGTCACGTGATCCTTCAGCAACCATTTTAATAAGCTGATTTGGTGCTCAAGAAATATTTCTTATTTTTTTAAAATTTGTGCTGCTTAAGATTTTTGTAAAAACTGTGGCAATTTCAAAAGAAACACAGTTTATTTAAAATAGAAATCATTTGTAACATTATAAATGTATTTAATGTCACTTTTGGTAAATTTAATTTCCTTGCTGAATAAAATAGTTGGGATTAAGAAACAGGTAAATTAAGAAAACAAAAACAAAAAACAGACATAGTCACAAAATATGTGCTAAATGTTAACTAACTAGTCCATAAAAAAGTCAATTTGATGGCAGATTCATATTAATATATGGATTTTATATTGTAATGAATTTTCTTAGTGGAAGCATTATTTTTGTTTATCTAGTAAGATAATAAATTATTTTAAACAGTTTCACATCCATGTATTTTTTTTTTATGTAAGTAGCCATCTAAGAAGTGGGATGAAGTCATTTTGTCATTATCACAAAATAAACTCCCTCGGGGTGATACAAGACTCCTGATTTGTGAGTTTATTTTGTGATAATAGCCAGATGATTGGATATTATACCTAATATTTTTCTTTGTAAACTGCTACTTTTGCATTCAAAGTTGTTATGTGTGCCTGTGTTTAGGCTACTCCATGCCCAAAGGAACCAAATAAGGAGATGATAAATGATGGTGCCTCCTGGACAATCATCAGCACTGATAAAGCAGAATACACCTTCTATGAGGGCATGGGCCCTGTACACACCCCCGTCACACCCGTGCCTGTGGTCGAGAGCTTACAGGTAACACACACAGGCGTTTTCTTTTTCAGAAGCTTACATCTCTTACTTACATAGTCCACTCACAAGTCTCTGCCTGCGGTTGATAATGTGTGTACACTGTATGTGTGTGTGAGCAGTTAAATGGTGGAGGAGACGTAGCAATGCTGGAGCTGACTGGACAGAACTTCACTTCAAATCTGCGGGTGTGGTTTGGTGATGTAGAGGCTGAAACCATGTACAGGTATGGATGATATTTGAAAAGATATCTATATGGCAAAAGGGAATATAAATCCAAGAGGTTTTGAAGTTCTGTTAATCTATGAACCGATAAATTTATATTGAGATTTTAATGAATACAGTTATAAACCGGCATCTAAAGGCCTGTAATACAAATGTTTATAAGTGCGATTCTTTAAAAGGAGTGTGAAATACTTGAATAATTGTACATTATTATCAAACTGAATACTTGTACTCTTATGCAATAACATTTCAAAGGCAAAGCCTTTACTTTTTCATGTAGACCGTTATATATTTCATGGGTTATCATGATTTAAATCATTCCTCTTTTAGTTCATCTTATTGATCGAACAAGTCAATCATTTTACAGTTAATGAAATTCATATCAGTGTAAAATGTCATTTCTATACTAAAATGTAAAATAAGTTGCATTTTAATACGTTTCAGTTTAACATCTGATGTGCCCCTTGTTAAAAATGAGTACTTATTACAGAAATAATATACTTTAAAAGATTAATGGGTTACACTTTATTTTGATAGTCCACTTTAGACATTCTACTAACTATAAATAACTTTGTAACTACATGTCAACTACATGTCAACTAATTCTCATTAATTTGGCACTACATGTCTACTAACTCTCAGAGTAGAGTTAGGTTAGTTTTAGGGTTAGTAGAATAAGTTGACATATACTTGCAAAGTTTCTCATAGTCAGTATGTTGTATGTTGTGGACCCATCAAAGTGAAGTGTTAGCAGATATTAAGCACACAGTCTACTAATACTCTAATGACTGCTAGTTGACATGTAGTTGCAAAGTTACTTACTGTTAGTAGAATATCTAAAGTTGACTATCAAAATAAAGTGTTCCCGAATAATGTAATGTAAATTGCAATTAAATAAAAATGTATTATAGTTTACATTTATATTAAATGCAATTAGATGAATTTGTAAAGTGCTTTTGACCCACTTAAGTATATCTTTCATATATCATGGTTTCCTTTATTGTCTTTGAAATATGGTTAAAGAGAATATACTGAAAAGTGTTTATGGTAAACTGAAATATACTTAAAAATTGTATACAAGACAAATATAAATATATAACCTTGTAAAACCTTGACACTTTTTAAAAAGTCTACTGTGCTGTGTTAAGAAAGAGTCCTTGTAATTAATATTATATCATCTGCAAACTAAACTACATAAAAGATTTGAAGTACATACAATACAATAAAGCGCACTATATTTTCACAAGGGAGTCCTAAATCCTTATAAACCTGTTAAATGCAGCAGTAAATGACATGTTAAGCTTTGACAGGACATAAGTTGAGTGAAGTGCCTCTGCCTAGTAAAGCCGAAGTGAACAAGACCCCACACGTATTGTTTAAAGCCTCATGTGGTCGTTAAAGAAAAAGATGTTCTTTTATTACTGCTGTCAGTTAAACATATTGCAGGCAGTGACAGACTGAATTATTAATAGACGTGATATTTCCTCTAAAGGTGTGGCGAGAGCATGCTGTGCGTCGTCCCAGACATCTCGGCGTTCCGCGAGGGCTGGCGGTGGGTGCGGCAGCCGGTGCAAGTCCCTGTAACGCTGGTGCGTAACGACGGTATCATCTATTCCACGACGCTCACGTTCACATACACACCCGAACCCGGTCCCCGTCCACACTGCAGCGCAGCCGGCGCCATCCTCCGAACGGGCAACACCAGCTTGCTCTCCACGACCGGCAACAGCGCAGGAGGGAACGGAGAAACGGCGCCCTACGGTGCCAACAGCACATCTAACGCCGTCACAGCGGCGTCCTCTAATGCAGCCGCGGCTGTGGTGTTATAACACGCAGCAGCGCTCACAAACTCACAACAGACTACAAACTGTTTGTAAAAGTGCTGCATATTGAATTTCAACATGCAAAAACAAGGGATAGATGGGTGAAAAAGGCTAAACCTGTGGCAAGGACAAAATATTTGAGAATGGTTCTCCTGTGCCCTCTTGTTGTTTTCTCTAAGGAGCCGGTGTGGTGCTAGCAATAGACAATGCCTGAGAGGAAACACCAGCACCGGACAACAGGTGTAGAAGACATGGAGACAAGACCACAGCAATGATACATCAGCTGTGTACAAAATGCGTCGACTGAAAATGATGTTCAGTCTCTTATGTTTCTTCCTTCCGGTCTGTGAATGCGATTGGGTGAGATGTATCATAGCCTGGGAGGTCTAAACTCACATTGAAAATGGTCACATTGAAATTGTGAGATGACCGTTTTTATGGACCACGGATATTGTATAAGCTTTAGTAAAGGTACTTTTTTTTTTTTTCTCCATACCTTTTTTATATCGAACATTATAGTATGCTTTTGTTACCAAATAGGTTCTATTCCTCCTCTGAGCTTTTTCTGTATATAGCTGCTTTCGTATACATCTGTTCGGTTAGATTCCTTCAGTTTTGCTACTTTGTATTTTCTAAAACCATTGTTTTTTTCCCCTCCTTTTTGTTTTCCATTCAGATTAGTTGTTCTCATTTTTCATTTGGAAGAAACTCAGAGGACCTGTTTTTTTATCCTTCGTTTTTATGAAGTCTTTAAAAAGAAAAGAGCTTTAAGCAATGCCTCTGCCTTGCCTGCATTACGATATGCGCTACGCTTCCTTTAAGCATTTCATCGATGTGTCTCACAAAAGGAACAATGCCATCTTTCTGTCTTATTTGGGAATTTAAACCAGAAAACACAAAATAGAGGCTTTAGATGCAACGTGTGTCTCTTCGATACGGTAGTTCATTTGTTCTAGAGCACGGGTAGGAGCTCACATATCAATTTCAGAAAGTTCGCTGCAGTTGGATATTTGTAACGTTAAAGTTCGGACACGAGTTTAGACTCCTATAGTTTTTAGTGCCGTTTTATACTGTTTCCTTTCTCAAATTCAGTTGTTCGTCTTCCTAAACTTCCGTTTGCATTTTCTAAAATTTGAAATGGTCTCAAAAACAGATGATTTGGAGACGTGCTCTACTATTAGATGTGGCCTTACTGGAACAAAGGTTCCCCGTTTAGTTCACTCCTTCAAAAGGAGGTGTACAAACGCGACCCGAGGAACCAAGCCTTGCATTTTGAACATTTTACATGCGATTTTTGATATTTAAACTCCCTTAAACTTTCGTTTGGATTTAAAAGATTTCAATGTGTAATAGATACGAACATACCCAAAGATATTATATTGGATTGTTGTCTCTGTTTTTTGAATATTCGAAGAGTATGTCGGGATTTGTGGCCTCTCGCACACCAAAAGTAGGAAGCTTTACGCCGTTGGTCATTGATGCGTTTATCGTGGCCTTGGTGTCTCACCAACTAGTAGACTAGTATTAATGACAAAAACAAAAAAAACTAGCTGTAATTAACTCATCAACCAGCACTAATAGTGTTTTGTGACTTTCTTTTTTATGTACAGTAATTTAACTTTTGAATTTTATGCGTCTATTTGTAAAAAAAAAAAAAACAAAAGTAAGAAAAAGACAAAGCATTCAGCCATTTTGTTATTTTTTCGTGTGTCTCAGTTATGTCCTTGGTGTTTCTCGTCGAAACGGTTGGGTGTTTGTATCTTATATGTTATTGTCTGGCTAGTAAAAGGACATCATGGGACTAGAAACATGGAAGTAAATGGCCTTTAAATAAGCGTCTCAAAGATGTAAGCATACAGCAATACTGTATAGGTCACTTTTTGTGTCTTGGTCTGTGGAAATAGCCACTGATTTTTCACCAGCCTGATCCACAGCATATGTGGTCATGAAGAACAGCTGGCTCAACTAGAGTCATCGTCACTTTCTTTTACACTTCATACTAATTTAATCAGACACCTTTTTGGTAGATTTGTAGATTTGCGTGGATCCTCCACTGTCTTCCTTACTTGGGAAATCTGTAGTGTAGTACACTAGTACAAGTAGGCGACCCGTCAAGCAAGGCAATATTCCAGCATTGTAGGCCTATAATGTAGTATATTTCGGGGAAAAAACTGTAACTTGAATGTTTCTGCAAAAAAAAAAAAAAAAAAAAGTTCACTTGTTGCCTCCACTAGCTTTTTCTTTTCACCATCTTCAACAACATCATCTCTCTTTCTTGCTAAAAATGTCTTTATTCTGTCTTGGATGGCCTCTTTGCAAAAAAATCTTCCATGAGGTGGTTTAACCTGAAGCTCTTGCAACTCGGTTTCCCAGAATTCTTCCATTTGATCATATTCTTGCAATTCAGTATCATGTAAGCGCACACTTCCATTTGGAGGAAGATGGCACTGGGCAAAAGCATGGATGCATTTTTTTATGTTATTTTTCATTTGCCATTCATGTTAAACTTGAACTATGCCCACTTTAAGCAGTCCATTTAATTTCTAATATTTGATGCTTTTGTCATGGTCAGAGCTTACCATGTAAAGTGGGATCGTATGTTTCTATTTTTTCCCCCTTGATTTATATAGCTTCATGACCCCAAAAAGACAAACAAGTGCTTTAAGCCAGTCCGCCTTGAAATGATACAGCATCATTGAAACAATTCCTACACAAACTAAAGAAAGCGATTAATTCAGACTGCAAATTCAGTGTGACGTTATTATGTTTTCATTAGCGTAGCACAATATATCAACATTTCTGAACCACTCCGCCACTTGGATTGCTGCCTCTGTTCCAGGTTTTTTTTACACTGTGGATTTGCGCAGTTCTGCCCCTCACTTATATGGCGTTATGCTGATAAAGTGCATTATGTTGCTCTCCGAACAAACCGATTGACAATCTTGCTGTTTTTTACGGTTTACTTGTTTATTTTGTATTTTTTGAAGGTGTTGAGCTTTAGAATGAAGGATTTATTCTGACCCATATCTGAAACTGGCATGTTGAGAAACTGTTTAAATTCTAACAAAATCCATAAATTTGCTTTATATAATTTTTCTGTCCGTTATAAATCAGTCGCAGAGCTTGACTCTGAAACGTTTTGAACTTAACGTCCGAGGCATGTATGTAGAGGCCACGTACCAAGCCTTAAAAACGCATTTAATGGCAATCCGAGTGAACTAATTGTTCGTATTTTTTCTTTAAAAATCAAAGTCAGCTGGTGTCATTTATACGTATCTATTGGTTTTATATTTCTTCATTCACTTTGCTCTTCCAAAAACTCCTAGCGTTATGCTGATAAAGTGCATTATGTTGCTCTCCGAACAAACCGATTGACAATCTTGCTGTTTTTTACGGTTTACTTGTTTATTTTGTATTGTTGAGCTTTAGAATGAAGGATTTATTCTGACCCATATCTGAAACTGGCATGTTGAGAAACTGTTTAAATTCTAACAAAATCCATAAATTTGCTTTATATCATTTTTCTGTCCGTTATAAATCAGTCGCAGAGCTTGACTCTGAAACGTTTTGAACTTAACGTCCGAGGCATGTATGTAGAGGCCACTTTTGTAATATACTGCGACTTCTTAAAAGACCCTGAACAGGCTTTCTGAGAACTTTATGCTTACCAAAACATTTTTCAATTATTGTATGCCTAATTTTGTTTAGGTTGCTGTACTGCATTTGTCAGTGTGCCCAAATATTTAGCACCACACTGTCAGCCAACGTTCAGCTCAATGTTTTTATTGAGTCATACCATGTTTTATGTCATTTCACAGACTTCTTTCATCCGTAATGGCTAATAGATGAGATAAAGCAAGCCTGATCTCAGTTATTTTGTAGCCTGGGGTTGAACTTGCAAATTTGCCAGGTTTTTTTTTTTCTTGAAAAATGAATTCTGTCATCATTTACTCAAACCTATTAGAAGATATTTTAAAGAACGTTTCAGCTGTTTTTGTCCATATTTTGAAAGTCAGTCTAACACTGACTTCAAAATGTCGATCTTTTATGTTCTACAGGAGAAAGTACGTTTTTCAGTTTTCATCACATCAGCTGTTAACCAGGTGCCTCCACCACATGCTTCTGACGTAAACCGTATTATACAAGAGCATCCGGTTAACTTTTTTTAGGAGTGGCTTTTAAAATTTGAGTTAAAAAAATAAAACATGCAGAGCTTTCTAAAAGTTGTCTCATAAAAACACATTTTTAAGTTTTAATGTATGCACTTCACAAGAATACAGTGACGCAACTGTAAAACAAAACGGAAAAAAAAAAAAAAACATAGGAAAATTTTGGACTGACCCTCAGGTTGCATTTCATACAAAGCACTCCTAAAATATTAATGCATTAGATGATATATGAATTGGCATCTGTGAATCTCCTCGTGGTTTTGAAACGTTTTCTTTAATAAGTAGGTATTTATTTTTTGGGGTGGTTAAATCTACTGGTATAGACTTTAGACAGTTTAATGTTTCAGTGTCGGTATTATACAGACATACAGTCAGTGTTAGAGAGCTGGATTCTATCAGCATTTCAGTGCAGTCATTGTCTGCATGCGTGTGCTCTCATTTATCACCAGTACGAGTCTCTCTCTTCCGTTAGCATCCATTTTACTAAACATTGCAAAGCTTTGAATGATTTTGACACTGTTCTATACACTTTACTTATACTGAAAAAGTCAGGGTTAAATGAGTGTCAGTTATGCTTGTGCTGAGCCACGGATACTGGTGTCAGTAAGCCGTGTAATTGTTCCTGAGCTTCGTGTGTTACCGTCAGCCTGTCCGCCTGTCCGCGTTCCCATCCCTCCAGCTCCTCTGGTGCTACGCCGGGTGCTGCTCCTGCTCACTTCATCCACATCATCCCTACAGCAGCTGAACGTCGCCAGCACGCCCTGTCTGAAGCGTTTGTTCATAAAACAGTAGACTATGGGGTTGACGCAGGCAGAGGTGTAGGACAGCAAGTGGATGAAGGATATCGGCGCTCCTGAGAGGAGACGATCGGCTGAACGTCTGTCAAAGGCTCGCCAGGCGTTAACCACGAAGATCGGCGTCCAGCAGAGGAAGAACAGCCCCATGATCACCAGCAGCATGCGGATGACCCGTTTCTTGGCCATGAGGTTTGCTGTAGGGCTGTTGCTGCAAACCCTTCTCAGTTTGGATTTGGGGTTGCTGAAGCCCGGCGTCACAGGTTCGGGACGCTTTCTCTTGGAGGGTTTGAGGTAGCAGCCATCGCCGTCACCATTTTTCAGATTGGATGTGCCATATTCTTTCTCTAGTGAACAAAGTGAGGATGAAACTGTAATCATGTGTAATACTAAAGAAACTTTTCCATTATCTCTGATATACGCATACAAAACATCTTAAAAATAAAGGTGCTTAAAAGATTCTTCGAGCAATGCCATAGAAGAACTAGTTTTGGTTCCACAAAGAACCATTCAGTCAAAGGTTCTTTAAAGAACCATCTCTTTCTTAGCTTTTTATAATCTGAAGAACCTTCTTTAGCCACAAAGAACCTTTTGTGAGAGAGAAAGGTTCTTCAGATGTTTTAGACAAAAGGTTCTTCTATGGCATCGTGAAGCACCTTTATTTTTAAGAGTGTATACTGTGATCAGTAAACCCAAACTACATCCGAATTCAAAATGATGAATACATTGATTTTTTGATTTATTTATACATGGTAAAACAATAAAAAAAAAACATGAAAGTTGAGTGATTCACCTTAACACCATTCACTACAGATTTGCTTTCTGCTCATTGATCTCTATATATAGATTATGTGATATTATCTATATTATAGATAGGTGTTTCCATAATGGTCACATTGACATGCCCATTTCTACATCACAACTTGGCAGCTTGTGTATCGTCGAATTTCAAGTTTTCCATTAAATATGACTTTGCTCAAATATAATAAATGATATTTGCTTAAATTCTGATTGTGGCAAAATATCAGTGCTGGACTGGTACTACTAGATCTCAGTGTTGCGTTTGACACTGTCGATCATAACATACTTCTTCAGAGACTGGAAAACTGGGTCGGGCTTTCTGGGATGGTAATCAAATGGTTCAGGTCATACTTAGAAGGGACATACACTAGCTTCCAGTTATATTTGGGATTGATTTTAAAGTACTTTTACTCGTTTATAAATCACTCAATGGCCTAAGACCTAAATACATGCAGATATGCTCACTGAATATAAACCTAACAGACCACTCAGATCCTTCGGATCGAGTCCGTTAGAAATACGGGGAATCCACACTGTAAAAAAAAATCCGTAAAATTTACGGTAACAAACTCTTAACTGTTTTAATTCATTTTAAATACATTTTTAAATTCCTTGTTTTTTTGTTGTGATTTAAAAAAAAGTCCTTTTATGTAAAGCACTTTGAATTACCATTGTGTATGAAATGTGCTATATAAATAAACTTGCCTTGCCTTGCCTTGACTTTGCTTGGTCTTTCATGTGCTCGGAACTCATAATAACGATATTTCTAACTCCACCTGAAGGGCACATTAGTCTTCTGGCTTGTCCTACAAATTGTCATCATGACTAAACAGCTTTATTTAAAAGGCTTTTATATAATGAGTTCACAGCTGAAGTATAAAGGTCAGCAAGTCTATGATATTTTCCCGTACCTTTGTTTGACTTCCTGTTAGCCATTTCAAATGTGATTCCCCTGTAGAGTTCGAGTGAGGTGAGGCCATACGCCGTCATCATTATGATCCCAGGCACGAGAAAGAGTATCAGCAACAGGAAAACATACCTAAAAAAAAAAAAAAAAAGCAGAGAGGTCAGTTGCAAAGTCAGACCTGGTTTGACAGTAAGAGCCTAGTCTTACAAGTTTGTCATCTCATTCTTTTCTTTCAAGTGGTCATAACTTTTTTTTTAATCAGTTATATGCTTTGATTACGCAGCTGGCAACTGCAGGATATCATCATGATATTTGTGTCTGTTTTCACAGTATTTTTAACTCAAAAAATGTAAATGCTGGGTAGCTTTGTAGTGTTAAATTTAGAGCGTTTACTAAAATTACTCACTCTCATGCTGTTTCCAACCTGTCTCCAGAAGTTATATATATATATATGTATATATATATATATATATATATATATATATATTGTATATTATAGTATCTTGCAGCTCTGATCCATACAATATTTCACTTATACTGTCACTGGATTATAGCGCATTCATGTTGCCAGTATTTGCAATCTGGAGGAGTTGACGCTACTTGCCGAAAGTCAAAGCCAGTCTTTAGATTTTGGACAGTCAGAGTTAACAAAAATCACGTAGTGTATGATGGGCACAGATTTAGTTTTTTAGCTTTAAACTATGAACATGTTTGATACTTTGAACTGATTTTAGAACAGATTGTTTCCATTTGTTATGTGTATGCTAGCAACAACGTGCATATTTCTGCACAAGTTTGCTGTGTGATCCTTAGAATATTATGGCCTGTTTTTTCTTTGTAATGATTTACAAAGTCGGTAAGTGTATGATGCCTCTTAGATGTTAAGTTGTGTAGTGTATTTCAGCATTAACATACATGGTCAGTGTAAACACATACTGCATTAAAAAGAGCGGCATGATGATTTTTCAACATTTTTCCTTTTGTGCTCCACAGAAAAGAGGAGTGCAAATAATCCTGTTAGCAAAGGTAATTTTCACTAACTCCGTCCACCACTGCTCAGATGTTTTGCCTTTAGTACAAACAGTATATTACTTCTATTTACACTTCTTTGTGTGAATAGCATCTATCACTATTTGCACTTATACTTGGTGCAAACAATATCTACCACTATTTACACTCAGTATAAATAACATTGAGCTTTTTTTTACACTTAGTGTAAATAACTGCTGCCGAAAACATAACAGTATACAGGTAACATGAGGGTAAATGATGACAGAATTTATATTCTGCTCCTTATTCCTTTAAACACCCTATCCTCAAAATTCAAAATAAAAAACACAGTCCTAATAAATCTTACCAGGTCTGCATGACATCACTGGACCAAACCAAGCGGCACATGTTGCCTGTGCTGTTGTTGCTGCGCATGAAAGGCACCAGGGTGCTGCCTATCGGATAAGGCAGCATGAGCAGAGAAGACACGACCCAAGTGGCTGTGATGACTTTTGCTGCATGGGACTTCGTCTGCCATGTGCGGGACTTAAAGGGGTTGCAGATGGCACTGTAGCGCTCCAGAGAGATGGCCACGAGGTTGAATGTCGATACACTCACCGAAATACCTGTGTGTTTGGACGCACAGAACTCAATTGCACATACAGAAATAAATCTGGCCTTGTTAAAGTATTGTGATTCTAAGAAGGTCTGATATATATGCTTCTATAAACAACAGTAAACGCAAAAATGGAAACAGACATGCAAACTTCATAACAAACTAACTCCAAGCATTGATAACAAAGGCATGAACTGTTAATAAAGTTAATGGCTGCTGGCACTTTAACGGCAGAACACTGCACACTTTACACCAAGTATGAGCACAGCTCCAGCTCTCCTCTGAATAATCAACAGCGCTTGATTGCTTATGAATGTTGACATACCCACACGGTAATAACAACAGAGTATGTAAATTAAGTCAGCTTTATCATGAGCAAGTATTACAGAATAGCACAAAACAAACACATAAAACATGCTGATGCATCAAATACAGAGATATCGGGCAGTGGCGTTGTCTCATTACTAAATTGTTTACATGGCACATATGCAGCATCTGGAAGTGGGCTATAAATAGTTTTACACAAAACTCAACAAGTCATAAATATGCATTCACAATGGATCCGACTTGCAATATAATCTGAAAAGAAAAAGCAAAAAAAGCTGTGGTCTTGCCAATATGATTGAGGCTTATAAAACAATATAAAATGATGCATTTTAGTACCCAGTGCAAGCTTCACTGTGTTCGTGGTCTATGCTTTTAGCCCCTTGATGAATAGTAATTAATCTCTAAATCAACCTTTTTTTTATAACCAAATGCAAGAAAAAAAGCAGCTGGAACATAAAGTATCCTTTGGTTAGGAGACCTTTTATAGTCTGCCTCTCGCAATCAATGTGATCAGATGCCCTTTTCAGGGCATAAAGAAGCTTGTAAGATCAGTGAATATTATGCAAACATTCCTATACTATAATGATACTCAAATTTTCTGGTAATTGATATATATATATATATA